CTGGGCAGGGAGACGTGCCCCGTATCCCCCCCACCCCGCACTGAGCTGGGTGACAGGACCAGGGACCGGGCCCCTCAGCACTTACAGGCTGAGGCCCCGATTCTCAATTACTCGTTTGTGCTGCTGGATTGTCTGACAGGCCCTGAGCCCCCAGCCCCCAAGCACCAGACAAGCTGCCTCTCCCCGGCCCCCCCCCATATAGCCTGGCCAGGAGATGGGGGAGGGGAAAGGTTTAGCTGGGGCTGCCCCATTCTGCTCCTCTAGGCAGGGCTCTGTGGGGTCCCTCTGCCCCTGGACACCGAGGGGCTGACGGGGGCCCAGGCTGGGATTGAGACTAGAGATGTAATCGGTTCACAGAGGGGTGGGCAATCATTTATGATGGGAGGGGCCACTCCAAGGTCTTGGTAAGCGGTCGAGGGCCGCACTCGTCCATGATGTTAACGGAGGAGACGTGGGTCTGGGATGGAGGTCGGGTGAAGGAGGCAGGTGTGTCCTGGGGCACTGGACTGGGGTGCAGGCCTTTGGGTTGTGCCCTGGGGCAGGGTATTGGGGTACAGGAAGGGAAGCAGGGGTTTGGGTTGTGACCTGGGGCAGAGGACTGAGGTGCCTAAACTATTCGATTAGTCAATTAATGAAAATTTAACATCCCTAAACCGGACAAGGGCACCGAGCAGAGAGCCCCGGACAGCGCCCACCGCCCCTCGTAGGTCGAGAGAGCCAGCAGACGCCGCCCAGCCGAACTCTGCCTGGCAGAACGGATACGTGAACGGATACAGGAGCGGGCCCCTCCCTCGGCCAACTCTGCTCTGGCCTTGTGAATGGCCGTTGTGTCCATAGCCGGGAGGAGGTTGGCCAGGAGGTCCCGTGACTTTGTGGGGCCGTGGACGGGGTGGGTGTAAATTAATCGGTGAGGGGAGAAGTGCAGCCAGAACCCCAACAAGAGGTTCCAGAGGAGCCAGAAGAGGGGCTGTAGCCTGGCGCACTTGAGATAAACGTGCTCCAGGGTCTCCCCCTCACACCGCAGAAGGGGCAAGTGTCGGGAACGCGGGGAACCGCGCCGAGTACATGCCCGTGCTCACGGCGCCGTGGAGGATTCTCCAGCTGATGTTCCCTGCGGAGTGTTCTGGCGCTGCTGGCAGGCAGGGAGCCTGTCTTAGAGGCCTGCTCGCTGGGAGCTGCTTAGGTAAGCGCCACCTGCTAGAGCCTGGCTCTGGTACCCCAACCCCTTCTGCACCCCAATTCCTTCCCAGATCCTGCACCTGCTGCTCCATCCCTCCCCTAGGGCAGAATCCTCCCCTGCACTAATATAGGGATGTTAAGGGCCAGCTGACTAGTTGCTTCCCCCAGTAGAGGCAGCATGGGGGTGAGAAGGGGGATACTTCAAAGCGGCAGTGTGACGGGGCACCTCTGCCCCCCACTGGAACCGCCCCCCAACGCTGAATCGAGAAGTCTTGGTGGTTGTGGGGCAGGAGCAGGGAGCCGCAGGAAAGCCAGCCCGGGGAACAGCGGGAGGAAGCGCAGGTGGCAGAGTGGGAGACGCATGTGGATGTCACTGGGGACATCATCCCAACGAGCCAAGGGGGGAGGATCGGGGACGCCGTGGGGGGCAGAGGCCCGGACGCCCGGGCGAGGGATTTAAAAGCGCCTAAGGAAGCCTGAGGGGAGGAGGAGATACAGGAGAGGAGTGACGGCGACCGGAGACCGAGGAAGGCGGATGCCAGCGTAAGCGAGACGTGGACAGCCAGGGTGAGCTTTAACCCGGGTCCACCGGGCAGACGTGGAAACGGAACTGGGGAAGAAGTGGCTCAAGGCAGGGTCATGGACCCCGTGAGTGGGGGAGTTTAGGGATTACAGCCCCCTCCGTTTAGTAGGGACCTAGGTCCCTACCTCAGGGCCCTGGGTCGGGGTTCAGAGAGAGGGCGGGCCCGAACCCCCTTCCCTGGTAGCCCGTGAGCTAAACTGGCCTTGTACAGGTAGAAACCCAGACAAAACAGAATAAACCATGCAACTGTTACTGGGCACAAAGGAGTAACTTGGTGTGGGGGCAGACGGGAGTGGCGGGGAGGGGGGACGCGAACCCCGTGAAGGGAACTCGTAACAGGCAGCACCACACGGAGCCCAGGGTCAGCCAGGGAGTCCCCAGCTGACCCCTGGGCTCTGTGTGGTGCTGCCACTTTGAAATGCGGCTCTGCCCTATCAACTAATCGAATAGTCAAAGCAAAAATGCATCAACTATTCGATTAGTCAATTACACGCCTCCTGGGCCCTGCACTCAAATCCCCTGTCCCAAGTCACAGCCCCTCCTCCCCCAAACGCCCTCTCAGCCCTGGTCTACACCAGGGAGTTATTCTGAAAGAACAAGCGGAGCGTCCACACTACCAAGCCCGTTATTTTGAAGTCTGAGCTGCTTTCCACGAGGAATAACTAGGGATGTGAGGAGTAGCCGAGTGGTCAACTCCCCTAAGCAGGGGCTTCTCAGGTAGCACTATGGACAGCTCGGTCCACCCCTCACCGCCCCGCTCTGCGCTCTGAAAGGGACAGAGAGGAGCAGGTGCACGAAGACACTGTCTCAATCTCAGGTCTCAGGACAAACCTGCGCCCCCCCCCCACCGCCCTCCCCC